CTGACAAATGTACTTTTTGGGCAGATTGCAGGAACAATTAGATGGGCCAGGGCCATCAGTCCAGCCTGAAGAAAGTGGTGCCCCAGCCGTTGCCGATGAAGAAAATGATCAATTTTGGTGTTTAGATGACATCCCAGGTGACCTTTTTAATGTAGAATATTGAGAAATTATCAAACGTGAACATGGCAGAAAGGGATTGTTATTTTTATGATGAATTTTTTGCTATGTCAGATTTGTAGCATTAACCAAGAGGTAGACAAAATGATATTGCAACTGAACATGGGATTCCTGGTATATGATTTGAATAGCTTTTGGGTTTCATAATTTCTTGAGAACAAAGAATTATTGAGGGTGTCCACAATTCAAGCTGCTTCTTCTCTCTTGTCATCTCTTTTTCTGTATTCTTTGATGTCTATATCTTTAACATCCCGCATCAATAGCATCAAAACAGTTATATTCTATATTGAAGTTGCTATGTCTTACTATATCATCTGTAAATTATTGTTGTATTACAGTGGAAGAAAATATTTCCTTGGATAGTACACCAGGAAAAGAAGTCAATTTGAATCACTTTGTAAAGCCTCCTGCAAATCTCGTTGTTCTTGAGGGTGACTGCTTGGATGCTACCGGTCGTGGTGGGGAATTGGAGTCTTATCTGGTACCATGATTGCTTCCAGTTGTTTACAAAAGGAAGCATTGCTATACTTCATTTTGTTCACTGATGATATGATGCGTGTTTGCAGTTGGCCACCACAAACTTGTATCATGATTTTATTCTTTTGGACACTTCTGATGCTGTTGCACTTAATGAGTATCTGAGGGGAAACAAAGTAGGGACAGAGCAAAATGGTGCCTACAGAGGGAGCTCAAATCGTAAAAGCTTTCATTCTCCCAGAGGACGTTCTACTGGAAGTGCACACAAAAATTCTGCTGCAAAGAGTCAGCATGCTAATCCCAGCTTTACTCCTCAACATAATTGCAGATTTGATGCTGATAACATTCCAATAAATTCTCCTGCTTCTGCTGGTTTTGATAACTGCAACAATGGACTTCATGTGGATGAAGGATGTGATGCATATCCCTCAAACAGTTCAAGCGATGATGAAGATGATCCATGGAAACCTTTAAATCCTCATGAGCCAGGCAATCTGAGAGTGAAGCCCTTTAGAAAAGGTTTCTTCTCCTCGTTTATCCCTTTATTAGTTTACCTTACCCTTATTACGTGATTACACCTTCATTACTATTACCTTTACGCAGTGAAAGCTTTTAAGAGCAAAGGAGTCAATTTAAACAGACGTGTATCTATAAGTTCCTTATTTCCACCTGCAAAATTGCATGGTCCTATCAATCCAGAGCTCATGAATATATGGGAAAGCCGACGCTATGCCAACAAACAGAAGGATAGCTCATCACCTCCATTGTATGAAAAGGTACTTTCTCGTGCATTCTCTGTTTATCTTTTTTCATCTTATGACAGCCTATAATATATGATGAATGAATTACAGCTAAGGCAATCACTTGTTAATGGTGGGGATGAAATTAATGGCACATTTCCGAACCCTGAAAATTGCAATGATGACAACTTATATGATAGTGAGAACCCTGATCTAGAAGTTCCAGAGAATGTCAATATGGATGAAGATATGCCTGCTTGCAGTAAAGAGGTTTGGAGACCAGTAATTTTATTGTCACATGCTCCAGACCAAATGGAAATTTCTGAATAAGCTTATCTACTTGATTTTTTACAGTATGACAATGGCGATGCTTATGTTGACGTTGATGAGGCTATAGGTAATGAATATCCAAATTCTCAGTCAAGTCTGGAAGATCTCTGTCGCTCTCACTTGGTAAGAGTGCCAGTTATTTTTCACTCAGTATTGAGTTTTTCTTCCCCCAAAAAAGTTGCATCCTATCTGTTTGTGGCTCTGTTGAAGAACTTGTGTGAAATAATGCAAGGGCTTGAGAGAAACTGTCTGGTCAAGTCTGAGTTGCTTGTTTTCCTGAAACGGTCAATATTTTTGCTTAGATGAACCTATAACCCGTAGTGCATCACGCAGGATTCTCTCCTGGCTAGCATAGCTAAGACCGAGAAGCAAACTGAAATGGCAGCTCGGGTTTCTACATGGAAACAAAGAATTGAGCACAACTTGGAAGAACAGGTGAATAATCCTCTTTGATGCCCTCGGGGCGGCAGTGGGAGGGATTGATGGTGGTCAATAGTTTGACATCATACATCCCTCTTCAAAGTTTGTGGTGCTTCAAGTTGATTTGAATTAATTTGCCTGACAGGAATCACACCCGCCATTTGATATCCATGACTATGGGGAGAATATCCTGGACAAACTTTCATTTGAAGAGCAAGAAAACAGTATCTTGTCCTTTTCTGATGTGGTCAAGGGGCAAGAGAAGTATGATGTGGCTCGAAGTTTTTCTGCTTTACTTCAACTGGTATGTTTTTTGCCCTGACAACAGTGCTTACTGTGCTTTGACTATTACCTATTTTGTGATGTTGGATGCCTTGAGAGTTGTCTAAATTGAAGCCAATCCGAATTTTTCGAACTTTATGAAATTTCAGGTAAACAATGGAGACGTGCATTTAGAAAGAAGTGGAAATGATGGCGAATCTGTGTGTTACACAGGCGTGAATCCGTTTCATGTTAGGCTCCTAAATCATGAGAAGAAACGTGATAACGCCCAGCTGCGTTTGACAAAAAAGCGAGCAAAGTCTCCAACCAAAAAGGCATTGACGAAAGGGAACAGGAACAAAACTGCAAGGCTGAATTCTCCCAACACCAATTCATCTAAGAGGGGGTTGTCGCCTCCATCATCAAATTGTAAGTTCTCTGTGAAGCTTGCGAAGGCAAGTGCCATAAGGTGCACTCCAGAAGGGAAGAGGAGACGAAGGTCTCAATATGTGGAGCCAATTAACTTACATTCTGCAGGGTGACACACTCTAAACCTGCAGTTTTATCCCCACGGCCAACATTGACTTTCATTCAAGACATCCACTGGATGTCATTTAGTAGATTAGCGTATGAAATCATTGCAGTCCAGGGTTTCACTAAATACTAACAGCTCTCGTTCTGCAATTTGTATTGCTATATCCCTGTGAATATTAATATATCTATGTACTGATACGATCTTGTAAGTTGTAACCCCATATGTATTCTTTTGAATGAAATGATAATGCTTGCTCGCTAGCTTGATTCGGCCAGAAACTTGTTTCCCCCTGTCATTTTTAGAAGAGGTATATGTTTACATTATCAACACCAAAGCATGCTTATAAATGGTAATTGGGTTGAAGAGTGATTCAATACTGTTCAAGTAAAAAAAAAAAAAAAAGAACTAAGTGTTCAACCTTTAGGAATAAAGAAAATCATGTTTAGAATATATCAGATATGAAGTCTTTTATACAAAAAAGAAATGAAATATAAGTAAGGCCATGTCGTTAAAAGGGGTGTTTAGATAAAACCAAATCATGGTTTGAAAAATAGCTTCTGAAAAATAGATTCTGGGAAGAATAGATTTTGTGAAGAAGTGATTCTGAAAAGTGAAAGTGTTTGAATAGTTGTTATTAGAAGCACTTTTTATATATACAAATTACTAAAAAAACATAAGTTAATATAATAAAATAGATTTTATATATATTTTAATTTGAAGGAATAAAATTGTTAATAATATATTTTTTATCAACATAATTAATAACACATAAGATAATATAACTAATAAATAATTAATATGTGTATATATATTTATAAGATATAAGATTAAATATGTTTATAAAAAATAATTGAGGGGTGTTAAGATCATATTATTATTGAGATCTACTCTCAGGCTCTCTTATACTGCGTCTAAAACAATGAGAAAGAGATGAATAATTAGGAAGGATATATCCGTTTGCGCAAAAAAAAAAAAAAACACATATCTTATAGGCTCTCACACTTTCTTTTTTCCCCCAAAAACAGAAAATTTTTGTTTCTACCAAAACTATGAATTTTAAGCCAAAATCATGATTTTCACTTTTTTTTTAGTGTTCGGGTGATTTTTTTTCAAATCATAGCCTGGGTCATCACCCAAACACCCAAAGACTTGAGGGCCCGCTGCAGCATGGTATTGCAGTTAATAGTTTTATGTCCAGATTTGACAGGATGTACGGTGCGAGGTGGAACATGAAGATCTCACATGTAAATAGGTTAAAATGTGAGAATGCTCATATGGTCCATTTGATGAGCTGAAAAGTTGATGGGACGTAAATGATGTGATTACTGAAAGAAAGGAAAGTGGAGTGGCGCGTGGAATACTTGCGGCGTGGCGAGTTTGAGACCGTATGGTGTGGACCGTATATCCCCATTTGGTCGGAGCGTCGTTCCTTCCCACCTTCCTCCATTTTATGATCACAATTTACAATTCACAAACACGTGCCTTTCATCAATTTCAATGTCTATTTATACATTATCAGAGTGGAATTTGAACCCCAACTTTGTTCCTTCAGAGAATGTTGCTCCTTGAAGGATTAATACTTCATACACATTAACGAAAACAGTACAATCAATTTAATGTTCCCAGAATAGTCTACTTTTCAAAAAAAAAAAAAGTAAATAAACTTATTTCATTTTAAAACCTAAAAAATATTATTTTTCTAACACCATATCCACATCTCCAAAATTCCTGATTTTTTTTTTTTTTGCCAACAAAATTCATAATTTTACATGAGGTTTGGTGAGGGGCATAAATTTGTATACGTCCCACCAGACAACTTATGGAGTCGGGCCCCGCTAAACATAATCACTCCATAACTACACTGCGTATCCGAGTTAACTCACTGACTCGTCTCTATCTCGGTCATCGAGCCGCATCCAGCGGCACTCTTTTCCGACGATGGGGACGAAGGACTCGGCTTCTTCTCTCTGCTCAGTACTCGCTGGAACGATAGCAAACGTCCCCCGGTGACCTAAACGACGTCGTCGACCCCTCCGCCTCTTTCCCGAAGCTTCTGCTCACCTCAATTGCTACACCAACGGACGACGGCTTCCGCCTCAACCCAACTGAAGACGACGAAGAACAGAGCGTCCGGCCGCTTCGGTTATCTTCTTGTCCATCCTGACGACATCCTGAACTCGAACCCTGTTCGCACACATTGATCACCACCTCCGGTCCGGGTCGGTCACCGGCCGGAACAGGTTCAACCAAAGATCTACAGAGAGGGCAGGTCGAGTGAGACTGGAACCACATGTCGATGCATTCGACGTGAAAAGTGTGGCTGCATCTGGGCAAAACCCTACCCGATTCGTTCTCTTCGAAATCGGACAAGCACACAGCGCATTCCACTGGGTCGGAGTGGGCGGAATAAATGAAGACAGGAAGAGACTGAATCACTGAGGGGTCAAGACCGACGGATGTTGGGGCGTCAGAGGGGACGGAGTCGTCGACGTAGAAGACAAGATATGAACGGCGGCGCTGGCGGTGACGGAGGCGGGCACGGCGGAGGTACCAGCGGGCGTAGAAGTGAAGGAAAATCAGTAGGATGATGAGGAACAACAAGAAGAAGGTGATGGTGAGGAGGATGTTGGTGGTGAGAGCGTAGCCTTTGGCGTCGAAGGGATGGGAATTGGGATTGGCATGGTCATCGAGCGCCATTGTTGAGTTCGAAGGGAATGTGGGGAAGGAGGTGAGGGGTTAAGCTATATGGGGAAGGAGAAGCTTCTGCAGATTTTAATGAACATGATTCTCTGCCACAGTCACGCTGTAGGAACGCGGTTTGCTTCAAATGACCTAATTTGTCTTTGCAACCTCTCAAATGTGGAAAGGCAAGAGTCAAAGCAATACTAATTGGAAATTAAGAAGAAAGAATTATAATTAGGTCTCAAAAAACAAAGAGATTTAATTATCAAAATAATAACTTGTCATTAAAATTTATTAATAATTAACTTTTTCCTTTAAAACTCGTGTGATTCTCTTCAATATTAATGACATCTTAAATGCTAAATCTATTTACAAAAAAGAAAAGAAAAAATTGTTTATGCAGTGGCTTGGTAGGATTTTGCTGTGTGCGTCAGCGTCACGGCAGGATGACTTTGATCTAACAAATACTTCATTGCGTCAAACAAGGGAAGTATTCACGGGGATGTCGTTTCTTTTGTGAGTCTAGTCTTCTCATACTTCTCTTTTTCTTCCTCTCGTCTCATCATTGCGTCCTTTTTTTTAAATATATCTTTCTTATGATTAATATTATTTGTTTATTGTCAAATATGATTCTTATTTTAAATAAATAAAAAAGTTTGCCAGCCTCAAGTCCTACCAATTATAAGATTATATCTGGAAAAACTAACAAGTCCCCATAGGAGTAGGCCCCCGGGGGGATGATCTCTTTTTTTTTTTTTTGGGGGGGGGGGGGGATGTTATAGAATTGCAACGTGTTTTGACCAGTTCAAATCGACAGTACGAAGCCTTCATGGAGCCAACACCGTGTAGAAGCAGGGATTATATATCAGCGTCGAAGTGGGTTGGAGTGTGAACACATTTTTCTTCCACGGATATCGTATATTCCCAGCTAGTTCGAAGGAACTTTAATAATAGTGTTCTTTTTATTTGACCAATACCCACTAAATCATACTAGTACTTCTTGATTCAGTAAATTCCTTAACCTGAAGGCCTAAACCAATATTGACGCTGGTACATTATAAAGCATGATTTGCTATCATAGTAGATGGTATTTAGATAGAAACTAAACTATAGTTTTAAAAGTGTTTTTACGATATACGAAATAAATATATAGAGAAATTTGTCTCATTTTGTAAAAATGATTTTAACGAGACCTCCTAGTCAACGACATATCTAAGGACTGGATTGTTGACAGAACACGGTAACGTCATATGATTTATGTAGCTGACCCCACTTAGTTAGATAAGGCTTGTTGTTGTTGTGGTGGAAAAGTGATTTTGAAAAATACTTCTTGAGTATCATTCGTGAAACACCTGTATCGAGGGCCAACTTGGATTCCCTGTTCAAGGAGTTGTCATTGCCATTATCATACGAAGTGCTTTATGACAAATAGAGGGCGTTGGCAAAACACCAGAAACAATTAAAAAAAATATATTTTTCCACAAATTGAAACAAAGCTCTTCTTATATATTTACCTCAAACACCGTAAAAAACGCTAATCCAAACACTCACAAATACCTGACAATCTGAGTGTGTATTTATCCTTCTTTTGTGTAAATAACACAGAGAATGATATTTTAATTTTACATTTAAATCTAAAAAGAAGTTTTTCATCAATTTAATCTGTAGACGGTTTGTAGAGAAAGATATGCAAATAAGTTGGACTGGAAACAACAGTGCCACTTCGATTGATTGCACTGATTCAATATCCCCAAACAGAACACAAACTGACAAGTGGCTTATTGCCTTACAAATTCCTAATAATGCAAGAGTTTGTAGGTTGCTTTTCTATTCTTTTTCTTATTCTAAGCACCAGAACTCCTGCTGCGCTAGGCCTACAAAACCACAAGGGGTTAATGAATAATGATGACCCCAGATCAAGGATTACCAGGCCCTTTTCTTTTCTCAACATTGAAGTTTGTGTCCAAAAGGCCTGTAATGCCTGCAGTGATCTTCTGACCTGGCTTCACAGGACCAACACCGGGGGGAGTGCCTGCAAAATGACCAAAACTATGTTAACGAAGCTAAGGTTTCAAAGATTTGGCCAATGGTGCGCCCACAAGGCCATAACAAAGCGACCGATGGCCTCAAGGGTTATAAAACTATTCAAGACACTGTTCTGTTTCATAATCTAATGCATCGCACAAAATTACTATGGCAGATGAAGTACCCGTAAGTATCACATCTCCTTCAAAGAGGGTAAAGATGGAGCTTATGTGGCTAATTAGAAATGGTATCTTAAAAATCATGTCCTTGGTTGAGCCTTTCTGCCGTATTTCATCATCTACCTGCAGCAACCATTTTTCTGCAGTCACTTCGAAGTTGCCAATGCGTCATGTAACCATTGCACAGTAAAAGGATCAGAATTCAGCAATATGAGCGGATAAATTATAAATAGCTCAAACCTTTAACCATAATTCTATATCATGGGGGTCTGGCACTGCAGTCTTGGGCAACTGCATACAACATATGTCAAATCAGAGGGGCAGTGATATGCTTTAAGAATATGGCTTAAATATACAAGTAGATGAGATAAGATAAAAGGTCTATGGGTATTAGAAGCATTTTAGTTTACTTTGATTCCCCTAGAAATTGGCTGTGTATAACTAAATGGAATACTTGCATGCAAGTTATTCTACTTCTTTCACGGAAGCCTCCATTACAAGTGATCTGCTACTCTCAAGTCACGTGCAGGTGTATATTAAACTATAAAGGCCATTTATGGCTGAATCTCGTATTGTCAGATTTGAAGCTGCCTACTCTCAAACTTCTAAAGCGAACTAACTTTTGCTATTTGCCTGCTTTTTGGCATAAAAGAAGCATTAAAAGGATACTATTTCTTACAACAGAACTAATTGGTGTGAAAGTATCCTGCCCTTTAGCCAAACCCCATGGAAGACCTGCAGACTAACAAATTGCCAAAAGAAAAAGAAACCACATAAATAATTAAATAAAAAGAACAACAAACTTTCATATTTCAGTAAATCTTATATGGTGATAAAGATAACAACAGATTTTGCATCTAGCCAAGTGAATATGTATACATTTGGGGTGCAAAAGGGAAAAGAGGATAAGATGGATAGAAAAATTTCCCATTGTCCAATGCAATCTTCTTGGCTTAAATACAAGCTTGGTACAATGATTTCCTCCATCAACCTCACCATGTCACCAATTAGAAAGAAAGTCACGCAAAATCATAGACTAGAAAACTATATTTGTTCGTTGATAAATAATAGGGTAAAATTCATCAATGTTAAGACTGATTTGTAAAGTTGCAGAACTCAAACGAACAATTTATTGCGTGATAAATTCCACAAGATGTCTTAATCAACATTCTTTCATATTGATATTCACTTCAAGCTTCAATGAGATGGGCTTATAACCAATCTCTCTCTCTCTCTCTCTCTCTCATGCTCATACATTGGAAAAAGTAATTGGTATCCACTCAGTTCATTATCTACAACTTTTATTTAAACCCAACAAGAAAGAAAGAAAGAAAAAACTCACCTTTGCTACATCTTGGAGGTCCCTCGCTGTCATATCTAGTGCGAGGGCATAACCTGATACACCAAAATGTAATTTGATTTGTTATATAATAGCAAACAGATAAAGAACAAGCATACATGGCCGTGTAGAATAACACTAACAATCCCATTCCCCTTTTCATCAGGGATGTCTTTGATGACAAAGAACCCGATCACAAGTGATGACCTCAGAATTCTCTCTAAAACACCAACACCGAAGGTTATAAGAATGTAAGTGGCATTTCACGGGCCAAAGAGCATTACCTCCGACATAATCCATAGCAGAAGACTCGGGTACATCACGAGCCTTCTTCCCGATCACCACCGCCAACTCGACCTCATGATGCAGAGAATCCACGTTGTGTGGGACTTCGATTGTTCCTCCATTTTCCAAGTAGGACGACGTTGGTTTCAGAAACAAGACGGGCTCCTGAAAAAACATTAGGACTTAGATTTCTGACAGAGTAGCCCCAGCCATTTAGCTCTAAATGCGAAGAGTCACAACCGAATGATTGAATATCGAGAGAAATTAACAGTCTAAAACATGAAGATCGAAGGTCAAAAGTTGGAGGGACTGCGTCCAGTTCCAGGAATTTACCGAGGAACCAAACGGAAAACGGAGGGCGAGATACCTTGGGAACGGCGTTGCCGAGTTCCTTAGCGTGAGCAGCGTAGTTTCTACCAACAGCGACGATCTTAGTGCCAACTTGCAGCAGCTTCTGGTAAGCTGTCGTTGCCATCGCTCTGAACTGGACCTGCTGTTCTGAAGCTTTTGCCTTCAGGAATTTCAGTTTTGGCTGCGCTGATCGTATCCTGTAGGAGACGACGGGGACGGGGACGGGCACGGGGACGGGGCCGCCGTTATGTATCATTACAAGCGACATGTCGTTTTGAGTTCCTTCACAAAATAGATTAATTAATACTATGGTGATTTTTTTTTCCAGCGATAGTATATTTATTTACTTCTGGTTTGCTTTCAATAAAATATCATAATCATGTCAATATTTATTTTATGCAATAATTTATATTATTCAAAAATCATAAAACAATATAATTCTTCATACGTCTGTATGCACAGAAATGTGCATGAATGTACGTATATACAAAAGAATTTTTTATTGCTCGTCTGGCTACCTGATATAGTTACAAAATCATGTTTTTGTCATGAAATGCTTTTGAAAAGGGGGAAAAAAATTATATCACTAAAAAAACATTGCATAATTAAGCGACAAAACCCAGGTTCAAAGTACTAATACCCATTATATCCAGTATGTTGAAAGAGATGGCGCCCGGATCCAAAGTAACAAATTTTACATATTCAGGGAGTTTCAATAACTTGCGTGTCTCTATGCTTTCATCCTTGACCAAAAATGCAAAAACTAGAAAAAGCAAGAAAGGATTTTGTATGATCCTAGTCCCTCCCTCATAGGAACGAAACAAATGGTTTGCAGTCCAGTTCAGAGTTCAGACAACTGAGGTCTGATCTTTGTCAATGGCGAGCGGAGTAAAACTAGGCACAAGGGCATTCTGTTGGGGTTGGCTTGTTGAAGGAGATGGCCGATTCGCTGCCATACTTGACTCTCCAATTTCAGATGCACGACGCGACCTGCAACTTTAACCTGTCACTTATTGCTGAATCTGTGAAACCAAACATTTTCTCAATCAAACTACTGACCGTTGGCGAACACTGGAGGATCGCCTGCCAAAACCAAGCAGCGAAGGACTTGAACAGCAACCAGTGAAGTGAGTAACATTCTCAGAAATTTCAGCGCTTGACTGCATTTCATTTCCAAGAAAACAAAAACGAAAATGAATGAGTCATGAACATGAAGTAATGCCATTGTATGTAGGAGGAGGATATGTTTGAGCCATTTAAGAACATCCAATGTTTTCTTGAGCAATAGATAATGGTGTTATAACTGTTTTGCAGCATGCATACTTACTGTTTGCTTCTGCGATCCTTGCACAGCAGATACCTCAGGAGGTCTTTCTCCTCTGTTTCTTCTTTCATTTACCAGAAGAACTGCACATTTGCAAGTGAAGTATAGAAGCGACACCCCAAGAGAAAAGATTATAACAAACTCCATGACGATGGCTGATCCCAAGACTGTAACCACATTTACAATATATCAGTAAGTTTTCTCATTCTTATTCATAAATTGTGGTTGCTCTAATGCTTGAGAAAACAAAATATTCTAATCAAGTGAGATCCATGAATTGAAAACTAACTAAACCTGCAAAACATGCATGAGAAATAGCCATGTTTCCAGTTGAGACTGTAATAACTAGTTCAAAGCTCAAAATCAAGTTTGGACAGCAAAGCTAATAAAATGGCATGCCATTATAGCACAGAAAGCTAACAATGGTAAAACGACAGCGCTTTGCTCAACTTCTATGAAGTTGGATGATCCCACCTAACTCAACATATAAAATGCGTTGCTTGTTATTACCCAATGTTTAAAAACAAGGGCAAAAAAGGTGAAATAAAAATAAGAAAAAACGTTACTTACTGTGAGCAAGGAATGGAGTCATGGGTCGTCCTCTCATCAAGTTGACCATAGCCTCAGCATATAAGGGCAATGACATCCCTTCAGAACAATCAGGATAACATCCATAATTTCCCATATCATTTAATTTCAATGTTAAAGCAGCTCCATGCTCTCCTCCCTGTGCAGATATAAACAAAAAAAGGTTTACTGTGGCGTTTTGTTTGGTATTCATTCCAGTATTCGTAGAGGGAAGAGATGATAAAGCAATGATGCTTCTAAAATGTGAAGAATAGAACTTGATCGCATGCTTCCGAGTTCCAAACATTATATGTGTAGGCTATAGGACTAATATTTCAAAGATAGTCCCATGTTCATAATTAAAGCGAAATAGCTTCAAGGATAGGAAGATTGCATACATGATAGAAAAGTTGCTGCATAACTGTGTTGCAGTCGTTGACTGTTCCCTGAAATCTGATTCCATTGGCTCTGACCATGAAATGCTTTGAGATAGTGACATATGTAAGAAGAGGCTGCCATTGGTTACTATCTCCCGTCTTCAGTTCAGTTGTGTTGACCAAATAAGAAGGAAGAGTTGTTATTAATATTCCATCGTTTACTTCCATAGAGAAAGTCACCAGAAATTGAGCCTTTTCCCCTGAAATATCACCCATCATCAGCAGAACGCAAGCCTCCAAATTCACTGTGCAAGCACTGTCAACTCCCAAGAACAAAGTTATTATCTAATCATGTTATATTTTGTACTGATTGACTTCTATTTCGCTTGTCCATAAATGGATTATTCATCTGTTTCATATAACTAAATCTGTTCTGTGCAATCTTAGCTCGTGAAGAAGCTGCAAAATATCAATCCAAGACACATATCTTCCTACCAGGGAAGGTAAGAAGATCAGGATCTCCAATGAAAAAGTCAAAGTTGTCTGAGTCTCTGTCAAAGATGAGGGACTCGTCTTTGTCACCCTTCAATATGATAAAGTAAGGGACTCTAATAAATGGTGGGTCATTGATAGGATCCACAAAAATTGGAACGTCCAAGGCATTCATTCCATACTTGTTCTTGGTAGACACTCGAATGGCATCCTTGCCACAAAAATTCTCATTTCTGAAGGTAAATATTAGAAAAACCAAGAATTAAATATCTTTGTGAAACCAAACACCAAAAGGCATGATCTAACCAATCTATGGCATATAAATTCCTAGAAATCATCTACATATATAAAAACTGGAAGTTACTCCGTTCAACAAACAGGTAACCTTAGGAATGACATTAAACGCAGAAGTCGCCTTTGTGAACAAAAGTTTCAAAAATCAGAAGCAGATAAAATATAAAATTCAAAGAATATCCGAAACTGAATGCAGTTTTTCTTCATTTTAACATATGGCCTGTACATTAAAGATATCATGGGTGCCATGGGAAAATGAAAAAGAAAATGGCAAACAAAATTAACTTTAGACAAACAACTAAAAGGATATACCCCAGATACTGGATTGACTGGAGAGCTAAGTTGATTATTCCACAGAACCTTCCAACACTAAATTGTTGGCTGTTTCGTTTCCTGTATTAATGGTAAGTTCTCTCCACATTGGTTGCCCAAATTGCAAGAGATGCTGTATCATTGTTGGCTTTGGGAAAATATTCACCTGAAATTAATTCAGAAGAGTATCTTCAGAATTTATTAATCTTAATAGCACAGTGAAATTAAAAATTTGAAGTTCATTGTTTGAATATACAAATGATCAAGTTTAAAACACATAATTTGTTACCAAACATCTCAAAATGAGTTAAATAACCAGAAATACCAAATGAGATCTTATATTTAGGACTAAAAGTAGTATCTACTAGAAAATGTAACTATTCCTCCAGTTCAGAACAATGTGGCAAGAACCAACGAGAAGTTCAAGTTTCAATATTATAAGGACAAGGAAAGAAACAGAGAGAACTTGACATGATAGAGGAACCAAAAATCCCGTCCGCATTAAAAGATCCAACACTAATCTTATCATGGGCGCATGTGCGCTTTCAAACTATAAGCAAAAGCCAAAGCATGCTATTTATACTTACTACTGTAAACATTGACATTGAAAGGGCATTGAGGGAAACGCTTGTCATCATAGGAAACACAGATCTCGTAAGTGCCAACATCTTGAGCCATATAATAGCAGCCGTATGAACCATCCTCATAATCCACAACGTCCCAAGTTGAAAATCCAGAACTATTAATTGAATTAATCTCCAGTTTCAACCTTGATTGTTGTGACAGGACTGGGTTTGAAAATGAATCCACAAGCTTTACTACTATTTCATTTTTAGACAGTTTTGGTACCTTTTGAGGAAACATCACAACACCTGAAAATAACATATTTACTTCACCTGCAGCAGACAAAGAACACGTATAGCTTCAAATGATTGATGGTATAAAAAAGGATATACTTTGCCAATACAATTGCAACATAACCAACCTAGATATTATGCATTTAATCTAAGCACTAATACATATCCATCTTCTACATAATTTCTTGCATCCTGGAGAGGCTATATCTCTCTTTACTTTTCCTGGTTGATGAAAAATTAAGGAGGTTTAGCATGGGAGATTGGGAGTAAGTACTAAAATCCTACAAGTTATCATCTTTTTATTCTTTACTCTAATGGAAACTCCTTTCCAATTTTATTCTTCTATTAGGGTTTTATAGAGCTAAAACACAAAAATAACTTGATATTATGCAGTTCGGGAATACCTGCTCGGACTTCTTTTCTGATCGAATGACCTCCATTTAATAAAATATTTCCGCAATATATACAAATCTCGTAAGTGCCACTTTTTGTGGGTGTACAGTCCACTCGAAAAGCACTGGCGACGACAGAGGTCTCACCCTGATTAGACTGAAACCAAGACACAATATCATTAGAGTTTCAATTAACTCTTTACCGAGAATTTTAATTTGTATTTCTTACATTGTTACTCAGCTCTGTTGACGGTGATGGAGCAATTTCAATGTGACTAACACTATCATATTTCACTCTTGTAGTTGCACTGCTTCCTACCACAAAAATGCACACATCAATACATCATTATAAATATTTACATATAGAGTAACATATTGGATGGTTTATAATGGCACATACCAGAGGTGTTTAGCACGGGATATATAGTTGGTGAAATACTGTATGAGTCGTTTACTCTTGAAATCAGAACTTGAAATAATTCTGCTTCAACAGGGGAAGGATATTGATATATGTCATTTAAATACACAGAAAATTCTGTCAATGCTCCTGCCACTGAGTCATTTAAACCAGATCCGTTGACAACACTCTTCACCCCATCACAGTAACCTATTCGGAAAGGAACATGAAGAGAAACTTGCATTCAGAAACAATCTCAGAGTTTAATTTATGTAAGAAGTAGAAGACAGATCCTCTTCGTGTTTTGTTTTCATAAAAGAGAGGGGAAGCTGGATAGAAAAATTCTACTAGAACCTGAACAGTATGGAGAAACATACTGTGATAAGCTAAAGAAACAGAAGTAAGAGACAGAGGACTAAAATGATGGTGGAACAAATAAAACTTATATAAAGAGACTTGGCACGTAGATTTTACCAACATAAACGGTGTAAGCATATGGCATATCAAAAATGCTTTTGTTATGCTTGCTATCATATATTGTTAGAAAGAAATTCCCCGGTTCCGAATTGCTGAAAGAAAACAATTGAATCCCAGCATCAGCTTCTTCAAACAGAAGATCTGATACAGGTATTGATAGATTTGTCTCCCTTTCAACAACTTGTGCATCAAATGCGTACAGTCCTGGAACCAGATTGCCATACTGATCTTGCTGATGTATAAGAATTTCCATCTTGGAAGCCAGTTGCCATGCTTTTGGTTTAAAGTTCCATCTGGCCATGCAGTTGGAGACATCTATAGGTCCTGGTATTGTAGAGAGGGAAAGAATAATGATAATTGAAGAACAGACAATAAAAATGAGGACATCATAAACTATTACTCTACAGCTATATACAGGATTAGTATCCAAAAGATGCCAACTATCAGGAGCTATTTTAGCATCAAACATGTAACAAAGATTCTAACACTACTATGTTCTCTTGTGCAACAAAGATCCCATGTTGATACAGTTTGGTTTACCAAATGCATGACACAAACTAACAATTGGCACAAAAGGAGCACAACCTGGATTCACCTTCAATGGTAATGGAGAACCGTTCAATGTTTGATTTCCTCCTTCTACAAGCAATGAAAAGTTACCAGCTTTTGTCACAATAAACTCAAAAATCATATAGTCAAACTCGTTCCAGCCCATATTGCTGATGTTTAGTGCGCTAGCAAAGGAACCATTTTCATAAAGCACAGACAAATTAAAGTCTGGTAAATAGGAAACTTCTGTTGACCGAGAGATATTGTTCCCAAATGCATCTTTGAGGAGTATCATAATAGTAGCTTTTGCACCAGCTTCAAACTCATTTTTCAGGCCCTTCCATGAAGCAGCACATACTGATGGATACATGTTCCCTTCAATAATATAATAGCATCTAGTGTTAGACACATGAAAGAGTAAAATCCATATTGGTCCACTTCAAAGTTGAAAGTTTGATTTTTGTGCCTATTTTATCCTTCCAAAATATTACTGAGGAACAATGTGCTATGCAGTTGAACTAAAGTCATGCCAAAATAATCTGAGGGAACCAATTCATGCAAGAGTTATCTTGGGAAGACCAAAATCCGGTTTTACTAATTATAAGATCAATATAGAATGGAGAATGCATAAAATCATTCAGTTTCAGATAACAATCTCATGGTTGCTTCAAAATGATTGTGGTTCTTAATCTAGTAACACTCATCACTTATGCATTAATCAACTCACTTAATGGAAGAGAGTTTCATCAATACCTGGATCAACCCGGAAATGCAAGGATGAATCATAAACTTGATAATGGCCCTCGTCGATGAGCACATTAAATACTCCAATCCTGATAGGAGTAAACATAATGCTCCATTATTTGGGTCACCTTCGAAATTTGTCAACACCGTTCAAACTCATTTTTCAGGCCCTTCCATGAAGCAGCACATACTGATGGATACATGTTCCCTTCAATAATATAATAGCATCTAGTGTTAGACACATGAAAGAGTAAAATCCATATTGGTCCACTTCAAAGTTGAAAGTTTGATTTTTGTGCCTATTTTATCCTTCCATAAATATTACTGAGGAACAATGTGCTATGCAGTTGAACTAAAGTCATGCCAAAATAATCTGAGGGAACCAATTCATGCAAGAGTTATCTTGGGAAGACCAAATCCGGTTTTATACTAATTATAAGATCAATATAGAATGGAGAATGCATAAATCATTCAGTTTCAGATAACAATCTCATGGTTGCTTCAAAATGATTGTGTGTTTCTTAATCTAGTAACACTCTCACTTATGCTATTACATCTCCACTCACTTAGGGGAAGAGAGTTTCATCAATACCTGGATCAACCCGGAAATGCAGGATGAATCATAAACTTGATAATTGCCCTCGTCGATGAGCACATTAAATACTCCAATCCTGATAGGAGTAAACATAATCTCCAATTATTTGGGTCCCTTCGAAATGTTGTCAACACCGTAGATACGTAGGAGCTATTCCCTGACTTTCCGTTCACAGTGAGCCTGGGCTTAAAAGCAATTCTGTCATCTTGTCAGCATTTTCAAGTACTATGACCTTGATCGCTGCAGTATCACCGGCCCGAAATGTGTCCTTATCATCCCACCAACTGAAAGCAAATTTAGGCAAAGGGGCTCCATCTGTCACGAATGAGAACAACAAACTGGTAATAGAAAAGAAAAGCCCAAAAAGTGTGCTTAATTTTTGTTCGAACAGATGAAAGAATGCGGGGTTTTTGCTAACCTGAAGATGGAGATTCAGAACGACATATTGCGATTAGAGAGAAAGCAGAGAGTGAAAGAGCAATGTGGCTGAGCGTTAGGACTGCCATTTTTGTGAGGCTTCCAGAGGCTGGTGTTGAGTTATGCCCTATGGAAGTTGCAGTTCGCGAAAGTTTTGAATTGTGGCGGTTGATGGCTGTTTTAACGGTTACCTCGGGAAGCGGTTATTGTCATGCACGCATCAACAAACTTAACCCGCCTGTCAACCATATGTATTAAACTAGACATTCCATTCGATATAATATGTTGTACTACCTCCGGTCGTTAATATAAGACCTTGTTTAATTTTTATTTTGATCTTAAATATAAAGCTCCAATCAACTTTTTCTCTCATATTTATGTATTTTTTTCCTAATATAGTTCTTCTAACAATAATAGTTCTGACTAATATATTTGATTAGCAAGGATATTTTAAAAGAAAAAAAATCTATTGATTACAAATAACTAACTTAACTTCTTTTCTTAATCTCTTCAAATTAGTCAACTAGATCTTATAATTAGGACCGGAAGTAGTATTATATATATAAAAATTGAATTTATCAATATCAAGACATGTAAAATATCTTCGAAATTCAAGGGGAAAAAAGGAAAATATATAAAGTTTTTACTCCTTTTTTTTTTGTTTCACTGTTTTAAGAAACGCTTGATAAAAATCATTTGTATATTTTCTTTTGGAAAAATAGCAAATAAAGACCCCTAATATGTAAAATTGCAATTTGAGACTCTCAATTTGGAAAATAGTAAATAAAGACTCAGTCCCATATTACAAATATAAAATCTTGATGAAATGTCTAAAATGTCCCTCGGCCAAATGACAAGTGAATTATAAGAAATGACAAATTCACTTAATGATAACTTCAATAGACCAAATCATAATTTAATTAAAGGTATGCCAAATGACAAGTTCACTTTAGCGAATGACAATTTCAGTAAACCAAATCACAACTTGGCTAAAGAGCATTTCAGACATTTTACTAAGATTTCATATTTGCAATAAGGAACCGGGTTTTTATCTGCCATTTTCCAAATTGAGAATCCCAAATCATAATTTCACATATTAGGGTGTCTTTATTTGCCATTGTTCCTTTTCTTTTCAAGGTAAATGTAAAATATAAAATTTGTAACAAACTTTATTATTTTATATTATAACTTATGAGCAATGCAATTCATTTTTGGAATTCAATATTCTTTCTTTTAATTCTTTTAAGCACAAAGATTAGCCACAAAAAAGTGAAAGTTATGTTAATCATCATGAGTTTGTTTGATATGATTACAATTAAATCTTAAGAAAAAAATAATAATTACAAACAAGTTTAAGAAGTTGTCATTTGCTATTATAAAACGTATTATTACAAGTTACTTAGATTGTTATTAACACTTTTTAGTAATTATTTTCTTTTCTTAGAACTGTGATTCTCCCTATTTTATATGCCTAACATACCAACGGTTTTTAGCCACATTTACAAACGGAATGATTAAATTTATTCTCTTCAATGGACTAGGAATCTCACAGATCTGTTCAGCGAGCAATTCTCTGAGCCACCACTCGAGTGACAAATAGAACTGAACTGCCCTTTTACTAAGAGGGGGAAAAGGCGAAAGAGAAAGAGAGAAGAGGCCATAATATTTATAAACTAATCAGAACTGCGTAACTGGAAAGTGTCGGCGCTCCTTTATGTCAACAACATCATCTTACTCTTGATCTTAAGACAAACGGCAGAGAAAAATATTCAATAATGTATCATCTTAAGTGCAACAAGAGAAGCTCTGGATTTTCAATTAAGTTTTTCCATTCATTGCAAAATCTGGCAACGGTTGCTCCATCCAGCACTCTATGATCCGCACCAATATTAACCTGAAACCACAGCAATATCTCAGTTTGTATAGTCAGATTTCAAATGCATATGTTTGAGGAAATCAGAGGAGGACTTACAGTCATGAGTGATGAAGGATACACACTCCCGTCATCTGCCAATTGCGGAACTTTCTGAATGCGACCAATTGCAATAATGGATACTTCAGGCAGATTGAGAAGTGGGGAACCAAACTTCCCACCAATTGCTCCAATGTTGCTTAAAGTAATTGTCCCCCCACATATATCCTCAGGATTAAGCTTGTTATCCAACGCCAATTGTTGCAGTCTTGACAGTTCTTTGGTTATCTAAATACACAAATTTAATAAAATAAACAAAAGAGGCAGAACAATGGGATTTATTGGAATGCAAAGATCATCATTACTTCGACATGCTGCAAGCACACAGGGACTCTTTTACTAATGGAACACTCATGACTGCAGCTACAACTGCACACAATTGAAATTTGAAACGCTGATTTTTCAACAGTAAAGAGGTAAATGGTAAACCTAATGAAGCCATGGGCACCAATTGCTCTCGGTGTAATTAGCAGTTTTTATACTAAGAAATGAAGTAAAAAATATACACTTCAACAAAATCAAGTATTGCAAAGCACAAGTAATGCTACTATAGAACAGCAACAGAAGCCAGCCAAAAGACATAGTGTTGGCCGCCTTTGAAATATGTTTTTTCCATTTTCAATTACAGAGTCTAACAAAAAAGCACATTTCCCTCCTCCAATGTGAACCGCCTTTAGCAAAACAAAAATTAACATTAAAGACAGAAATACCGCAAATGTTGTTGAGAAGTGCTCTGTTCAAGTACTTCAGTCATGAATTAACAAGAAAAAAAGAAAGAAAAGAGGCATCAGACTTTCACTTCAATCATGATATGAATTCAAGTGCAAACCACTTTTAGAGTTGCTAACGTACATAAACAACCATAAGAGTGTAAACTAACCTCCAAGATGGAAAGAGACTGAACATTTTTTATGTTTGGTACAACTAAACCATTTGGAGTAGCCATGGCAACTCCAATGTTGTGCGAACCTATAGCAAACAAGTCATTGTGTCAACTTTGGGATGCCGCTGCCTCAAATTAAATTATGAACTTATCAGTTGCTGGAAGACAAACAAGCAAGGTTCATGAATTAACCTAAATTTAACAATATCTAACAAAACATCAGAGGAGAATAGGTTAAGTTGTAAAGTATATTCAAGCAAAAGATCAAGTGTTAATAAAAATTTAATAACTCCAATTTTTCTTCGTTTAATTTTGGTAATTAAACTCTTAACAATTCTCATTTACAAAGAAGAAAGGCACAAGATAAAACTCAGACTAACCCACTGCTATATATAAATCTTAATTAAATTTAAAAGTTAATGCTTCAGATAGATTTCCTTGAATGCATACCTTCCACCTAACAACAATGCATTACATTTGTCTCATATGAACCTAAACAAAATCAAGCTCCAAGTTCAAGGAAAAGCAGAAAAAATATAGTAATAATTTACACACTAGCGTCTATGATACAAACCTTTGAGTATGACCTCCACTGACTCTTCATTAAAGCAACTATTCATCAAGGGATATTTTATCATGGCCATTGAGAGAGATTTAATTAATAAGGGAAGGAAAGTGTGCTTGACATCAGGAGAAGTATTGTTATTCTGAAAAGATGTTTTAAGCTCCACTAGGGCATCACAGGTTATCTCATCTACATAATAGAAATGTGGGACTTTGGAAGCCATAGTCATTGTTTTCACCATTGCCCGTTGGAATCCCCTGCAAAAGAGGACAACAAACAAAGTCAACAGTAAGCTTTTAAGCAAGTTCTTTGGAATTCATCTAAGTTTACCACATTTTTCTTCGACGTAACATAAATGGTGGTGGTAAGAATTAGCTGGTTTAATATATTTGATACATGTGATCAAAAGAAAAATGATTGAAAATCATGAAAATTTTACCTAAGGGGAACAATCCTGTCTTCAAAAGTCCATTCAAATTTAGCTGTTGCATCAGAGTTCTTTCGTGCCACAGGCTGAGACTGATTTCCATAATCAGCATTCAAGGAAGCAGATTGATCTTTTATGATTCCTTTCATGACAGCATACTTAAGAACATCCTCTTTTAAAACCCTACCATCTTTTCCGGTTCCACAAACATCATTTATGTCTATACCATGTTCTTTTGCTAGGCACCGTACAGCTGGTGTTGATAGAACTCCACCTCGTTTACCTTTTTCATTGTCAGGTATTGATAGAACTCCACCTTCATTACCTTTCTCATCATCAGAGTTAGGTGACTTTAGATTCTCTGAATTTCTAGAAATGATTCCTGATGGTGGAGCCTCATTAACTATTAACTTTACAAGAGTTTCCCCAACCTGCAATTTTGCGTAACAAAAGCTTAATTACATCTGAAGTCTCCAAACACAATACACCAACAACAACAACAACAAGAAGCTTTATACAACCAATTGAAAGTTGGCTACATGGATCATATGACCATTGAGCTTTATAAACAGCCTACTCTTTAATAATATCATTCTCCAATCATAATATAAAATGATAAATTTTTTGTTCAGAATTAAAAATTATTTTTTTTTGGTTAAAATTAAATGAAGTTATATCTTCTAAACATTGCTGCCCCTGCAATCTTCACCCAAAGGAAATGCAACGCTTCATAGGCCTCATAGATAATTGCAAAAGTCGATATGACTTGTACATTATTCTCATACGTCATATCCTTGTGTTATAATGTCGAGGAAAAACAGTAAATTAGCCACTAAAAGCGGTACACAAATACAAGTACCCCTCTTAGGGCTCTTGGTTGATCCTGCCCAACGGAAAGAGCAAGCATAAAAGAGAAATGACAAGGAGATTGCATAACAAGGCCTATAGTTTCAAGCAATCTTCTGAGGGTAATATTCTCAAACTGGTGGTTGTTATAATGTTAACATGAATCAATGTCTACGTTTAGAAGCATCATTTTAGCGAATCATATCATCTGCTTTTAAGGTCTGAAGTCCCACCTTGACAATATTACCAGGAACAAAGAGAAGATGAGCAACTTTCCCCTTGTAACGACTTGTAATTTCTATGGTTGCTTTATCGCTTTGAACTTCACAAAGTGGTTGAAATTCTTCAACATGATCCCCCTGCCAAAATGAAAAAAATAAATCTTGAGATAACTTGTTTAAAAAAGTGGCAACCTCGAATGGTGACATGAAGCAAGTCTCTGTTGTTGGCATTCACCCCCAACTCTTCCTCCCCACTCCCCACCCACACATGGGAAGAGGAAGTTTAAAAGTCCAAATTGAAACTGGAGCTCGCAAATTTCAACTTATTGAAGGTTACCTTCCACCTACAAAATACGTTGTGCGTATTGGAAAACGGAAAGGAGTTCTTTTTTTTTTTTTGAAAAAGCATAGAATCGAGGACAGAAGTCATGAGAGAATATGCTCATTTGTACAAAGCAGCGAGGATATAAGGAACCAACCGGTTACTCACCTCTTGAACAAACCACTTGAGAAGCTCACATTCTGCAATACCTTCACCTGTTTGTGCCAGGGGAACGTCAACCATCTCACCCGCAGGAAGAACTGCCACGGCTTCAGTGGAAAAGTAGCATGTCTTCATATACAAAACATTGAACTGCAGAGTGGAGATTTGACAAACAGTGATGCAGTCAAACATTAGTTGCAGCCAATAAAAGTTGGAATTTAGTGACATGATTAAATGAACACAAGCAATTTCAACAAGGACAGCATAACACCAATCGAATAGTGAAATTAGTCCGAACGTTGGTCGGGTGGTAATTGACAAAACTAACGAGTAATTAATCACATCAACTTTATCGGCCAAGAAAAAGAAAGGTTCAACTTTACCACACATCAGTTTTAACTCAGGTCAAAAGAAACTTTAAGCAACTCACAAAGCACAGAATACCCTGACATCGAGATTTTAAATAGTATGACATGAGAAGGATACCAATGGATTAGATACATCGGAAATATTCATGCAGTGATACTTTATGAAAATCAGAAAGCTAAAAAGATAGTATTTTGATTCTTGTAAGATTTCCAACAGCTTTTTAGTGGAAATTGGGAAAGTATGGGGATAACAGTGAGCATTTAAACGACGCCGTATATCAAGGGCGAGGAATCTAGTTGAAGAAACAAGCACATCAATATCAAGAACTCACATTTATGTTATCTAGAGCTCTGGGCCGCGTAAATGACGCTGGAGCGGAGCCAAAAGAAGACCCAGAGAAGAGCTTCCGAAACGGAGTGTTTTGCTTCGGCGGAGATGAGCTAAGGGAGATGTAAGGACAGAAGCATCGCCGGCGGAAGCCCCAAACCGTCCTCTGCCATATCCGGCTGCCCAGCATCCTTCTCCGGCAATACGTACGGTGGTGTCTTGCGGATCAATGAAGAGGAAATCTAATCAAAGGTAAGAATTTCGTTCGTTCTTGATTATCTGTAATGCGTAGAATGGAAATTATTGGTGGAAGAGGACCGAGGAACTGTTGCAAATTGAAGCAATAACTAGATGATCGATTTTAGCAAGAGAGTATGAACTAAACAAGCAACACACCCGTGGATAGATACTAATCCAAACTAGGATGAAGGATCATATGGTCACTTCGCTAGAGAAATCCAAATGCTCGACGTCTAAAGTTTCAGATCAGAGAGAGATGTTAAAAAAATGTTTTCTCAACAATATATCGCCAATGGCAAAAAAAAATCATCAAAATGGCAAATTCCGTGTACCCCGCGAGGCTCTAATCTATCTTTTTTGACCAGACACAAGGCTCTACTCTAAAGTCTGGACCAAACCAACAACCATTTCATCGAGTTACCTTGTAGTGGGATCTTTAAAATTAACTTTTTGTGTTTCAAAATAATCTTTAAATTAGTCTTTTCTTTTCTTTTTATTTTAATTTGAAATATTTTCCTTTTTTATTGTTTTAATTCTGTTTTCCAAACATCAAAATTAATTTTTCATGAATAAAATAAAAGTTTACTTTATCTTAGTTAAGGATAGAAATTCATCTTTTGTTATTATTCTTTTTTTTTTTTTGGCCAACCATCTTAGGTTATTATTTTAGTCCAGCCATAAGCGTTTTTTAAAAAAATAAAATATATGAGCTATATTTTGCACAGAGTGAGAATTTAAATTTCGTTTATTATTCAATTTTTTTTATTCTCTCGGTAGTGTGGTTAGTCGCATATACTCCTCTAATCCTATTGATAAGACAAAAAAAAAAGACATTTTTTGTTCTATTTATACGATATTAAGAGAAATTTTTTATATGGATATATAATTTTACTTCTCATTTATTAGTGTGTTGATTTTGTTTATATAAGATATAATGTATATTAAATAGAGATAAAGTTAATAAATTGTTGAAGTTTAAATGAGAGTTAATAAAATTTACTTTTTGTTTATTTGTATAAAACATACTAAAAGTGACTTATAAATAGAACCAAACCAATATAATTCAAGATTTATCAATAGCTTTGGTGTTTATTAATTTTATATTGTAGATAATAATATTAGTTAGATGAAATATTTTAACAAAACCCATCGCATTAATTTGTTTGTGTTTGGTGAAAGGGGTACCGATAAAATGAGACAACACGTGAGACAGGTGTTAAATTGGGGAAACGCAAATGGCATGCAAAACGATGAAGCCATTTAGACCACGCTACTGTGCATGCTTGTTTCGCGTTCTCACGCAAGGTTTTTTTTTTTTTTCCTGGCCAACAACCTCACGTAATTGATACTACCTTCAATCCGGAACTAATTAATTAATTTAAGTATATTAAAAAATAATTAAATTAGTTAATTATAATAAATAGGTGTTGTCTTTTCTAAAATACTTTCACTAATCAAGTATATTAATTAGAACTACTATTACTATAAAGACTATGTTCAGAAAAAATAAATAAAGATGAGAGATAAAGTAAATTAGGATTTACTAAGGGGGTCAGGTCTAACATAAAGGACTAGTCCCTTACAACATAATGAACTAAAGTTTGAATCCCTGCAGGGAGAGGTACTCATATTTAGTACCTGATAGTACCTCGAATAGGATTGCCTCCAATAAGAAGATACATATACTTTAACCAAAAAAAAGTAAATTGGGATTTTCTATTTAAGATTAAAATAAAAATTAAATGAGTTCTTATATTAGAAATCAGATATAGTAATATCTATTTATGCTGATTCAAACATTTTTCATTAAAAAGAAAGAGCCTATAATATTATATTGGCAGTGGTTTAATAACACGCTTGGTTCGCGAATGTACCGGATCCTAGCAGTTATAAAAATAAGAGAGAATTACAATCAAATCTCACAAAAAAATAATTATTAAAAAATTTTAATAATAATTTTAACAGTTTATAATGACAAATTTTATTATAAAAATAACCACTTTTAGTACTTATTTTTTAATTATTTTCTTTGTTTGTCCAGAACTCATTGTAATTCTCCCTGAAAACAATGGATGTGGGGCCAGGCCGAGAACAAGAATCACGACTGCTTGTCTGTCAATCAGTCATCACTCTTATCTCCTATCAATGGCTTCGTCACGTACACAAGATTTTTTTTTTAAAAAATTTTTTGTTATTGTTATTATTATTATTGAACAAGATCTTTTTTTTTTTAGCAAAAATATTATTGAACAAGATCTTTTTTTTGATCAGATTATTGAACAAGATCTAAACTTTGAGTTTTGGGAATTAAAAATCTGTGTCAAGGAAAGCCAATAGAGCCTACAGCATTTTTGTTTCAAGAAAGGCCACCACAATCGGGCACCAAAGAGATAGGGTGTGGGTGTAGCAATAAACAAGTATTAGTATCTTAAAAAAATAAAATAAGAAAGGATGTTACTAATGAAGTTCGTGATAATTAATTTGGAAGGCAAAAATACAAAGTGATATAAGAATTCTTTAACTTTGATTTTGGTCATGAATACAAAATCCTAATCTGCTTTATTTCTCATATTTATTCATTTTTTCAAGATAATTTTTGTAATAGTAATAGTTCTAACTAATACACTTGATTAGTAAAGATATTTTTAAAAAAAATATCTATTGATTACAAATAACTAACATAACTGATTTTCTCAATTTATTTAAGTTAGTCAACTAGCTCTTATATTAAGTACCAAAGGTAGTATATTGATACTACAATTTACAATTTTGAAATCTTAATTTGGAGTTTTTTTTTGGGAAAAAAATCTAATTGATAAGACTAGGGCAAAAAAAATCAAAATAAGACAAGATATAACTATGATTATATCAATATTCTATACATAATATGAAACTTACCAGAAGTCGCAAGCTATCCAATTGCCTCGCACGCAAAAAATGCGGTCTAGCCGACTTGGACAACGATGATGATAATATGATGCATTTTGGGCTTTGAGCATGTGGGCCTTGAATTAAAGACCCAATTGTTTTTCTTTTCTGTTTGGAACGATCCAAGTTAGATTTTTCATCCATATACAGCCTTCGAGCTTGTCTTCGTTATTGTGCCTAGAGGTGGAAATAGGCCAGGTGACCTGTCAGAGGCCTCTGACCTGACCTGTTTTGGGCCTAATCAGGCTAGGCCTGTTAATATATAGACACAGGCTTAGGCCTCTTTCATAGCCTATTTCACTTAATAGGCCAGGCTCAGGCCTTATAAAAAGGCTATAAAGCCTGTCAGGCGACCTGAGCCTGTTATGCCTTTGTAATATTTTGTATTTATGTTCAGGTTTGTTATGCCTTTGTAATATTTTGTATTTATGTTCAGGTTTGTCAAAAAGACGCCTTGAACCCGTGACCTGGAGGTGAGATGGTGATCACCTTGCCGCTGCCTCGCCGCGTGTTTTTGTGAAGTGTCGTGCAAGATTTACTATTTTAAACCCAAAGTTCGCCAAAAAAAAAAGTAAAAAACTCAATACATTTACTTTGCCCTAGTCCGTTAGGTTTTCCTTATCTATCTTTTAACTCCTTAGCTCATTCTAGCCGCCACTCGAGCAGTCGAGCTCTCCATTCTCCAAGTCTCACCAGTGTCGTTCACAATCTCCAGTTCCAACTCACACGGTCAGACCTCACAAGCCACAGCATTGCCGTCGTTCACTCTCCAGCTCCGAGCTCCCGCGGTCGGCCATTCGCACACTATCCCAATTTCTAGACCTAATCTCTCCTCCTCTTCACTCCTCATTTAGCTCGTACGTCGTCAATGGGTAAGCTTTTTGTTACAAACTAAACTTTGATAACTAGAACACTACTTTCTCTCGTCCATCGTATTCCAATAAATAAAAGCGATCGACTGGTGACATGATTTCATTATTCATGGCAGAAATTTGAAATCTGAATGTGATTATATATATTCATGGAAGAAATCGTTGAAATTAGAAGTCACCGCCATGAACACACACACAAGGTCCCATGTGTATATTCCCCCACATATATATATATATAGTCGTGGGAGAAATCTGAAGTCACCGCCATGAATATATGTATAATATATATGGAGAGTAACAGATTTTATCAAAATTTTAATCATACAGTGCTGTGCTTATGTTTTATAATTTTTCATTGTTCTTCTTCTTGTTTTTTTAGGCGTGCCTTGTTTATAGATTCTACAGTAGCTTGTATTGTGCCACTGGATCAAGATTTTATCAGAATTTTTCTACAGAAAATTAGGAATTTTAGTGTTGTTGGTATTTTGTTAACTTTTGATTTATCAGGTTTCTTACTCATTTTCCTAGAGGGTGGAAGCATGTTTTTAGTCATTCAACTGATATATGCTAAATTGCTAATATGTGCTTTATGATTCATTGCTAGTTTATGATTCATTGTCAATATATTATACATTTCATTTCTTCTTTTCAAGGTGTTCAAACAAGAAGCAACTACGCTGGTCAGGGGAAAAAAAACAAGAAGAAACTGGACGGACGGCTATACTTTTATTTGGTCAAGATTATTGTAATTGTGATGAACCTTGGTCCCTTGTTTCATTTGGTATTATATTGTTGATTAATTAGATTATATTAGATTTTGTGTTGTATTTTAGATAATTTTGAATTTATTTATGTGTATATGGCCTATTTTTAGCTTGTTAATAGTTTTTGAAAAAAAAAAAAGCTTTTTAACAGGCTTCAGGCCAGGCCAGGTCTTTATACAGGTCAAGCTTAAACTGAAAAAAAAGCCTTTAACAGGCCACAGGCCAGGCTCAAGCTGGTTTGTTACAAGACAGGCCTAGCCTATTAAAAGGAAAGCCTGGCCTGGCCTGGCCTGACTTGTTCCCACCTCTAATTGTGCCGATAGTCCCAGCTGGCCAACGAATTGAATGTACAACGTTGTGGCCAACCAAGAGAACGTGAGAAAACAGTGATCCCAAGTAAGCACCTTTGACAAATTAAAAAGCCGTTGATTCTGTCTTGATCCATGGAAACTGAGAATTTTGTTGCCGTCAATCTTGAACCATTTTGCCCCTTGAAATCACATCATCTACCTACATATATTACTCCCACTGATTCTAAATATAAGAGTTAGAAGACTAATTAGTTTTTAATAGTTTGCGATAAATGTCACTTCCTTAATGAAAAGTGCAAACTTTCTTAATATATATACACAATCAATAGGACGCGTCTAGGAAAAGAATTTATAAATTTATAACACAAAGTGAATTAAAATCTTATATTTAGCATTAAACAAAAATCATTAATTATTAACATGCGTGCTTGCATGTTAACATACACACCTTTCCTTTTCAAAATCATTACTCCAAATTCTGCAATATCGACATCTCTTCAAAATATGATGTGAATTGAAAATCAAAATGATACGATGACGGTGCTTTAATTTCAGTAATAATAATAATAATCTTTTGACTGAACAAATGGTTCTATATATGGTTAGCCACCTCGTGAGAAGAGGATGAAAGGCCCTCGATCATTATTGTGGATAATCTTTTGATTTCACAGCGTATTCCCTTCACTTGTGATTTCACATCTCGTAATTAATTAGGACCATACATTCGTAAGGCATATATTCACAGCTAGCCAGTCCTCATTACATGAAAGAATTTTGACTAATCCCAAATTAAACCAATTACGACGGTGAGTTAACAAGTGCTATATATATTATATATATATACTACTTCCGGTCCTAATTTTAAAAACTTATTTGTAAACTGCAAATAAAATCTTATAAATAAGACCAGAAGAGGTAGTGTGTGTATATAAAATAGTTGTGTGTGTTTGTGTGTGTCACAGTCATATGGACCCTGATACCCTATTGATGTTGCTGAACCTAACACCCACTGTTTCTCTTCATGCATCAACAGTGTTTGCCAATTTCAATACTCATCTTTTGGCTTCGGAAGCCATCAAACATTAATTAATTGTTTATATTTCATCTTGTTCTTAATATAAAAACTAGTTGACTAGTTTAAGTAGATTAAGAAGATTTATTAAGTTAGTTATTTGTAATAAATATGTAATATCATCTTTAAAATAACATTACTAATTATATATATTAACTATAACATGAAACCTTTAATATGTGTAATTATTATAGGGACTACTTTAAAAAATAAATAAATATGAGAGACAAAATAGATTAAGATTTTATATTTAAAACTAAATTAAAAGTTAAAATAGCTTTTATATTAAAAACCGTAGATATTATATATATGATTATGTATTTATATATGTGCTCTATATACCATACTAGAATGGTTAATTCAATGAATATGACTCATTTTTCAAAATAGCTAGCTAGCTAGAGGACGCTAATTTACACAAAGCAAGCAACGTTCAAACCAACGAGTTGACCACAAACCAGGAAGCATTTGAATATAAATATAGTATCACAACAATATGGTGGTAGCTAGCCAATTTTCTGTGTTTGTGTTTGATGATGATGATGGAATATAGCACTTTTCACCCACTGAATTGTTTGACCAAAAGAAATTCCCCCTTTTTTAATCAAAAAGATGCAACAATAGCATTTTGGTATCATAAACAATAACTAAAAAAAAAGTGGTAATATTTTTAGACTTATAGCTTTGGTCTTTTTAACTGTAGCCAATTCTGATTCCTGCTACTAAAGCCTGAAGATTTAATTAGTCAAAACACCCAAGGAGTACTAGCCAACCTTAACAACCTATCATACAAAGATATGATGTTTTAAACGTTGTGTGAACTTTGAAGCAATTTAAATACTTCACACATATCAAACTAAGAAACACCAATATGCCTGATTTATATTAAAAACATATTATCAATATAATGTCGGGTACTGTTTAAACACTAAATGTGTTAAGTGTGTGAATTTATATAATATTGTTGAAGCATCTTAATCTTGAAGTCATTGGATTGAAAATTTGAAACTCAACAGCAAATGAGGTGATGGAAGAACTGTTACAACCTGTTGTTACTCATAGAGGGGAGAAGGAAGTAAAGCTGTCGGTTGTTGGAATTTTTGCATACAAAGCGTAAGAATTAGGGACACAAACAGTGGACAACGTTACTGTGTACAAAACATATACATTGAAAACTAGAACTATGAGGTAGATGTGACGCTTGTTGGATGTTTGTATATATATTTTATGATCAATCCTAATTGGTTCTTTAGCCACAACCACCAGTGCATGATTAATGGATGAGAGATATGAAATGGGGCTTTCGAAACGGGAGATATGGAAATCTCATGTCAATAATTGTGAATCAGATTCGTGCAAAGATTAAAAGTAGCGAATTGTCGACAAGATAATTGAGGTGTGTGGGGAATGATGAGGCTGATGAATCCCTGTAGGTAGGGCATTTGGTGCAACTAGATTTCACATGCTTGGTTCTATTAACAGCTAGCTTGTAATGTGTCATCTTCTCCTTTCAACAGTTTAGTAAACAGGGACACAGAAACACAATCAGAGAGAGAAGAAAGTACACCAGAGAGAGAGAGAGAGAGTAATAGCACATGATGAACGAAATCTGATATATGATGCTTGATTGTATATGTGAAGATGGTGCTGCAGAAAATCACGGGAGAAGACAATGTTTGACTGTAGTAGTGTCTTCACATATGGCATTCGGTGTTCTAAACCAACTTTTTTATGTCTATGAAATATTTTTTCAGAAACAATCAGTTATCTAAAATTTAAGGTATTCGTTGTTACTGAGAAAAATATTTTAAGGATAACATTGTACCAAAAATTACGTAGGATAACGGGGTAATACTAGAAAAATACTTTATGACACTAAAAATTAGTTTAGAATACTAAAAGGTATTGAAAAAAATACTTCTTAACTAACCTTGGGATCAACAAGCAAATTAAAAATTTAGTATAGGAAGTCCGTTATGAATTTATTCCTTTTTTTTTTTGAAATTCAGCCTTTAGTTAATTTAGTTGAAAGTATTAAGCAATTGTGTTCCTTATGTTCTTTAAAAATTACTCTTTCGGTGTTGTACGTTTGGGGTTCCACTTGTCAAGGAAATAAATAAATTAGGTCTTAACTAAGAATGATAACTTTTGACTTTTGCAATACAAGGACTTTTATTATATGCAACAAAAGTAATTAGGTGGAAGCAGCAGTCAAACAAGGGTAAATCCTAGAGATATCTAATCGTAGCATGCTGTTGTTCTAGAGGGGGGCAAAAGATGGAGTTGAAATCTAGTAAAAAATTTTTGTCGACGATCCATTTAAAGTAGAAACACGGAGTTTAAAAAAAGAGAAGGTACAGAATGTGCTTCTAGTTCAAAAACAAAAAGAATTGTGCCTGCTGGTTCAAAGAAACACGCTAAGGAAAAGTTGTAATGATTCTAGTCGGTGGTAAAATGTTTGACAATAAGGAGCACTTTCTTCCGTGGTAACTGGTAACATTGAATCTGAAGAATCTATGATACATAGATGGCTTTTAGACTTTTATATTTTGGACTCCTTCAAAATCCACTCACATCAACTTTGAACTTGCCAAAAACTTATAGTCTAGTGTCATAAAAGCTCTTTTGTAAATAGGAAGTCGTATATATATTCACCAGCATAGCCAGAACTTATTTGGGGTAGGTGATTGAGATAGCATATATATAAAGTTTACATAATATACATCCATAACCGTGCAGTTTCTAGGCATGCTTGTGTCATAAAGCAACCTCAGTCCCCAAAAAAAAAAAAAAAATCTTTCCACCCACCGCCCCATCTTCCTATCAATGATGGATTTGTGTAAAATCACTCTGAATCGCTTTAGTTTCTGTTGGCTATCGAGCACCTAATACAACCCTTTTCTTTTATCCGGATTAGGACCGGCTATAAAAATCATATATAGAGACATCTTAATGAAAATTGAAGAGTTATATATGTGCTACTACGACTCCCCGTAAGTATCAGCAGCTTGTTTCTTATATCAGCTGACACCACTGATCAACAAAAAATACCATGCAGCAGCAAGTAATAATATGTTGATGATGATTTATGCGTATGTACATACATGTCTGCGCTGGCGTTGTACAATGATGCTGTTTGTCTGAGATGATAATAAGGAATAAGAGTGTAGAGGATATGTGGAGGTGGTTTTTTGGTACCCAAAAAGCACGAACTGGTTCTGCCACAATAATTTCAAAAGGAAGAAACAAACAATATAAATCCATAGGATTTACGTACTGTGGAATTGCAAGCTGCTGGGTGTAGTAACTTTAATGGACAAGGTGCGTGCTTTAATAGGAAAGGTGGGGATGGCTTCTAACAGTTGTGTGATTTTGGATGTATCCTAAGCCTTTATGTGGCCACTGACATGTGCCATAAAAGCAAATTTTGCTTCCAATCCAATCTTATTATTTTCACAATGTCTACCTAATTAATTAATTATAAAGGTCCCCCAAGGCAAAAAAATCCCTAATGTTTCGTTGTTAGTTTTGAAGGCCCTACTGTCTCTGTAACTTACTGAAGTGACCTCGTCCTAACAAATTATTGGAAGTCATTAACTGCCATATTTATATATTCTAGATCTCCAAATTAAACCCCACCTTTTCCTACTTCATCAGTAAATGTTATTATCCTATTGTAATCATAATATTAGCTTCATCAAGGTCTTTTTAGGGTAGGTAGTAGTTAATCCCTGCATATAGTAGATTTTTAGGAGGATTACTGTAAACTCCTACATAATCAATCTACTAATCATTAAAAATTCTTATAACAAATAAAAAAAATATGCAACTTATCGTTATTTTCTGTACTGGATCTTGTCATTACATGCTACTCACTTGTTATGAGACTTTTTAGTAATTAGATTATTTATGTGGAATTACACGGCATATTATTAGTATGTCCTATAGGCAACAAAGACTAATCATCCCTCAAAATACAGATTCAATCATCCAAAAACATCACCACCTTGTTCACCCCTTTTACATGGTCTAGATTTTATTTGATGGTTTATGTTTTACGTTCTGTATTTTCAATAAAAATCGTAATTATTTTTTAAGCTAACAGTTATTCACAGCTAATTAAAACCCATCAAGATGAAATGACACGTTCATGTGAGCCAAGCCATAGATATTGGTTAAGCTAGGTATATATATTTTGATCACTTAATTAAGGAAAGTCAGTTTATACACGGAAAAGAAATTATAGATAGTGCAGTGACAAGTAGCTAATTAGGCATACACGTGTTATTAAAGTATGTGAGCTTAAGTGAGGAGCCGAAAAAAGCCAAACATGATCTGAGTATAAGAGCAATTGCGATCGCAAGCTCACATGCACAATCACAGACTGGTAGCTAGTGTTTCTGAAACGTGGATATCAGAATTTTTGGTATATCAGCAAATATTGCGTTGCTTTTTGGGCAGAGAAGATGCCTCTGTTCCCACTATTATGAAGAAAATTGACAACCGACGATGCCAACATATGATTCACGCGCGCGCACCACAACGTTTGAAGGATAAACATAAAGCACAGAGTTCAATGTCAAACTAAACCTATTCTTATGATTTTGCTATAATCATGCATGTTAATTGAAACTTAAAGTAATGTTAATTCAAAGGGGGTGTTGGGAAGGATTAGCTTCTTATAAGTACTTTCATGCAAGTTGAGATAAAACTCCTCTCATATTTATCTCATGCACCATTAAATTACTCCTAAAAAGCTAATTCAAAGCTATAAGGGCCGGTGATGACAACCAATGCAAAATTAATAAGATCAAAATCAACACAAAAATGGCAACATATAGAAACATATTTTGAAAAAAAAAAAAAACAACACACACACACACACACACACACACACACACACACATACACATCAATTCTGAGTAACCTTTTAGGTTCACAAAAGTAATATATAATTTATTAAACAAATGGGAAATGATCCTTATGTACATAAAAGAAAATGGAGGCTTTCTTTTAATTGAGTTTTTTCAAGTTTGGTTTTCAGCCTAACCTTGTTGTAATCGGACTCGGTCTTGTTTACAATTAAAAAAAAACTATAAAAAAACAAAATGGAGGCTTCATACACGATGCAAAGAATCAAATTTGACATGAAAGTATATATCTATGTTAGGGTCAAGATAAAGCAAGTACTTTATGATATAGATGAGATAAAGCTTTTGTGAGTTATAATTAATTAAAAAAGTGTAGAAATGCAATGGTAAAGCAAGGGATAGATGGATTCCCCACCATCTCCAAACCTTATATAAAGGCATAGATGGTTTGCTTCTCTTACCCACTTTGCTCCTCTCATCAGTCTACTTTTTCCTCATCAAATATTTAGTAGTGGCTTTTGTAGGTCATATGTGTGTCTGTGCACAAAGAACAGACACCCACTATCTCCTTCTTGTTCTTCATCATTAAACCACCCAAATACCACACATACGGAATCAAATCAAACAAACGCAAAAGCGAAAGCTAAGGATTTTATATATCAAGCGATGATGCTTGCAGCGGAGGAGAAATCCCAACAAGCATACGCGACATTTGCTGAGGTACGAGGCCTTACAATTCCCTTTCTATTAACTTGTTCCCATTCTTTCTTTTCTCCTTTTATCCCCACACAAGCCCACAACTTGCACTCTCCGGCCTGTCTCTCATAATAAATTACCGTTTTGTACCCTCCAAACTACTCATTTACTTGGTTTCTCTTAAAATTTAATCCCATCCTCTTACTTTAGTCATTCTAATCATGAGAATACGTATTATCGTTTATAGATCATCCGCTATATATATATATATATATATATATATTTAATTATGTCCATTTAGATATTGATGACATGCATGACTAGCTATAGCTTGACGTGAAGCTGTGATCATTAAACATCCAATTAATTAAATGAATATTGTTCATATAAGAGCTGATCATATAAGCGCTGATCTTTTAATCTAACTACGCCAGTCCCAGTATTTGTCGCTACATATATTTTGATGTCCTACCTCGCGTGTTTTGATTCGATTATATAGCTGAGATTTTATTTACTCATGATAGTTTAATTGTGTACACTGAATTCAAAATCTGATTCTTTGTTTGCAATGCGCTTTTTAGGTTGTGGAGGAGCTAAAGAGAGTGGGAGACATAGGGTTCCCAATAGCAGCAATGAGCCTGGTGAACTACCTCAAGAACATGATCCTAGTCGTGTGCATGGGCAAGTTGGGAAGTCTTGAGCTCGCCGCCGGTTCTCTAGCCATTGGCTTCACCAACATCACCGGTTACTCCGTCCTCTCTGGTCTCGCCGCCGGCATGGAGCCTCTCTGCGGCCAAGCCTTCGGTTCTAGAAACTTCTCCTTACTATCACTCACGCTTCACAGAACCATCCTCATGCTCTTATTAGCCTCCCTCCCAATTTCTCTCCTATGGATAAAGCTCGAACCTTTGATGCTCGGTCTCCACCAAAACCCAGACATATCCTCAGTGGCTAGCCTCTATTGTCGCTACGCCCTCCCAGACCTCATCGCCAATAGCTTCCTTCACCCACTTCGCATCTATTTACGTAGTAAAGGCACAACTTGGCCTCTATTGTGGTGTACTTCATTAGCCACACTTGTTCATATCCCAATTATCATCTTTTTGACCTTCAAACTCCAACTTGGAGTACCAGGAATCGCGATCTCATCTTTCGTCGCCAATTTCAACACCCTCTTCTTCCTCCTTCTCTACATGTCCTATCCACGAGCCGCCGCCTCCAGCAAGGTGGAGCCTTTAACTTTGTGCACACCTCTCGTGATGAAACACCGTTCGTCGGGGAGTGAATGGGGTATGCTTATAAGATTCTCCATACAAAGCTGCGTCGGAGTCTGTTTAGAGTGGTGGTGGTACGAGCTGATGACCATCCTCGCCGGGTACCTGAAAAACCCTCGCGCGGCTCTGGCCACGTCGGGGATAATAATCCAAACCACATCGCTCATGTACACTCTTCCGAACGCACTGAGCGCGTCGGCGTCAACAAGAGTCGGGAACGAGCTCGGAGCCGGTGAGCCACGAAAGGCGAGACTATCAAGCACGGTGGCCTTAGGGTTGGCAGCGGCTAGCTCGACGGTGGGGTTGGTGTGGACCACGGTGGGAAAAGAAAGATGGGGTAGGGTTTTTAGCAGTGACAGAGAAGTGTTAGAGTTAACGATGGCTGTTTTGCCTATAATTGGAGTGTGTGAGATAGGGAATTGTCCACAAACAACAGGATGTGGGATTCTGAGAGGGAGCGCGAGAACCGGGATAGGGGCAGGGATAAACCTGTACGCGTTTTACTTGGTGGGAGCACCGGTGGGGATAGTGTTGGGGTTTGTTTGGGAGCTAGGTTTGGTGGGTCTTTGTTATGGGCTATTTGCGGCTCAGATCGCCTGCGTGGTGTCTATTCTCTTTGTGGTGCACAACACTGATTGGGAAAAGGAATCCTTGAAGGCAAAATGTTTGGTGGGAGAGAATTATTATGCTTCTTCATCATCAGGACATCAACAACAACAACCAGTGAAATGTGACGAAGAAAGTACTGTGGTCACTTTTATCCAAGAGAAAAACAACAACAACAACAAGAACTCTGAACTACACTGAGACAAGAACAGCAAATTAATTGATCTGATCTTATCTTTCTGCAGTTTTATGTGCATTAATTATATTCATTCAAAAAGAATACAAATTCTCTGTTATGATTTATATACAATTACTTAATTTGTAGTTCTAGCTAGAGGATGGATTAATGGAAATTGATCACATGCTTGGCCGGCTCTCAGCATTAGTTAGTTGCTATTAACTATATTCAACTGTAATCGCAGGCAGTATTATTGTTTAATGTATTTAACAAACGTGATTAATGACATCGATCCTTTATTCTTCCTTTCTTTATTTCATTTCATCCAATAATTAAGTTATAATTGTAATTGTTATAATTACTAGTTATCTACTACAGTTCTTAATATAAGAGATAAATGATTAACTTGGAAATATTAAAAAAATTAGTTAAATTAGCTAAGTATAACAATTATGTGTTGACTTCCTAAATTAATCATCATATTTAATCATATGCAATAAAACTATCCCTTAATAGAAATTCTTACGCTCAATAGGGATATTTTAAAAAAAATCATTATAAATTTGAAAGACAAAGTTAATTGAGTTCTTATATTTAGGACTAAATCTAATTCCAATTAGTTCTTATGTTAAAAATCCAAGTAATATATATTTGCGTAACATAACCCATACACACACACACACACATATTTACATTTTTTCACTAAAACATGGATATCCTCATATTGAAGATAATTCTATTTAAGGTATTATTGAGCACTAAATTTGAGCACCTCTCCTAGCGGGGATTTAAACTTTGGTTTGTCACGTTATAAGGAGTTAGCCCTTTATGCTACATTCAATCCCATTGGTACACATATATTTATATTTATCAGAATGACCGTGTGTTTGGGCTGCTTCATGCATGATTAGCAAAATTTTATGTTTGAAACTTGCTAGGTAGATTCTTAATGTAAGATGAATCTTCCCGACATCAACACATGTCTACTTTAAGAGACCAAACTGTCTTTGTAAAAGAAATTTTTAGTTTGTGCCATCATGTGTGTTTGAGTGACATGATTGTGTAGATACATAATTGATTATTAATATTGAATTACTCTGTCAGATCCCTAATATCAGAGCTTGTTAGGAGTGTGAATTTGATCATAAATATACAATCTGAATCTATTGTCTCTCATATTTATTATATTTTAAAATTAAATTGCTTAACTATTATAAACCGATGCATATGATCAAGTGTTACACAGAAATATTTCGGGGAGATTAGGTCATAATCATTATGATTAACTAATTTATCTTATTTCTTTAACTTATTCAAATCCTTGTTTAAAAAAAAAGCTTTTTCAAATTAATTAAGTCTTATGTTAAAAATCAGAAAAAGTATCAACTTACGGAATGCCAATAATGATCATAAATAAAAACTACGTAGAAATCGGAATGTTTTAGACTTCTTTCTTGCGTGCGCACAAAATGCACCTAATAAAGGAGTAGAAATTGGGCAAATATGTAGATGATTTTTCATTGATTATTTTTTCCTTAACATATTTCCATTTGAGTGTGCAAAAATTGTGATATACATAAAAATTAAACATACTATCTCACCTAGCTCTTATATTACGAACCGAAGCAGTATATAATATGCAGAAATGAAAGAGCTTGAAGAAAGAAGATCGTGGAAGCATGTGTTTTTGTGGGGAGGAGGAGAGCCATGCATGTACCAAACACATGGAGAAGGAATATAAAGGTACTTTTGATTATTAATTTAACTAACCAGAGATATCATTGTCGCTGTATATATCTTGTGCTATTTAAGGTAAGGCCTAGTAAATATAGTGAGATGCTTCATATTCTAAACAAAGTAGTCTATGATTTTGCTTCCAATCTTATCGGCCTGTCCTTCTCCCCCACCATGCTCTTATATGCATCACTTCCCTCTGAAAAGACCACACATCCTTCCATAATAATCAACCAAGTTTGGCACTTGTACCAATTTATTTGTTGTAACATGCATGCATGGTCCTCAACCTACCAAAACATTTATTTATTTATTTATTTTGTTTATCTTTTCTTCTTCTTTTTATCTCACCTTTATTTATGAAAGACTGTGTAAAAGTTTGATGATTTCAACTATTTTCAAAAGGTAATTAAAAAGCGATGTAGGAAGGAGAGGCGGCCCCAACCCTATAGGCAATGGGTCAATGGCATGTCATGGGAATACCAAGAGAGACTCACCCCGTCTAGTCGTGTACCTATTTATTCTCCCTCGGTTTCATTCATATTTTATAATATAATCTAAAATATTAAGAAAAAATTGCAGTAAGATCTCGATCAAGATAATTAGATACAAAAAAGTCTATTAAAATCATCAAATTAATTTGAAGTTCTAAAGGACCTCATGATAAGATTATATTTGTTTAATTACTAACTTGTCTTTTTTTTTTAGTATGCATTAATAACGGAAAGAATAGTTATTAACAATTTAAAGCATAATGATTAACAACTATTGTGTTACATATTGACAACTCATACGTTTTATTTTTGTAATGCGCTAAAAAAATATATTGTTAATACCTGCTATGATAATTGTTAATCGTCACACCTAAGTTGTTAACGACCGCTCTTTCAGTTGTCAATACATATTTTTTAAAAAAAAGACAAGAATAATTTAGTAATTAAACAAATAGAATCTCTTGTAATGAGGTCACTTGAGACTTCAGATTAATTTAATAATTTCAAAAGACCTTTTTGTATTTAATTGTCTTGGGTAAGACGTTATTGCAATTTTTCTAGATATTAACTTATACATTAAAGTACCTCAACCTCAATTGATAAAAATATTAGGATTAACATGCAAATTTCCGAAAGTTTTTCTTATACAAATTTGTCCCAAAAATTCAAAATCGTAATAATATTGTCCTTACATTATTAAAATTAATGTTGATTGTTAAAATAATAACATTGACCGGTAATATTTTTAACAACAAAGGATAATATTGCTACGATTTTAAATTTTTTGCGTAAATTTATGTTCAAAAAAGGTTTTGGGTACTCAACGATTGTAAATAAAATCTTCCAAAAGAAATTTGGACATTAACCCAAAATATTATTATATTTTAATCCGTATGCAATAACCTTAAATGACAAATATAATAAAATAATGGTCAGGATCCTACAACGAACCCAATGACACTAAATACTTTTCTCAATCCTTTATTAAAATTGAGGTTGTGAATTCAAGACCAAAATAATAATAATAATAATAATAATAATAAAACACTAACGCGGAGTAATATTGGACGCACAACAGTTTGAACTCTTTAGCTTTATGTGTCTCTAAGCAGTAATTAAATACCCGCACTTAGCGTTATTATTCCATTTAAAAATTACTACTTCTTGGTAATAGGAGCATGAATTCGGATCAGCCGTAGACTGTAGTTGACGATTTATACTAAAAAAAAAATTAGGTAGTCAAAGAAGGGGGAAATTACATTAATTATATTTATTTTTAAAAAATATTATCTCATCAGTTTTTATCTTTTTTTTCTCTTAAATATAGAAACATAGAATGTGGATCATGTTATTCCCCAAGTCCGTTGGCCAAAAAAGGACATAAATTATTTTTCCCTCTTTTTCATCATTCTTTTAATTGAGCTGAATTGTTGGCAAAAAAGGACAATTGAATTCCCATTTTTCCCTCTTTTTCTTTTACATTTGAATTTGATAACGGAAAATTAGTTGCTTACAAAAAATTAATTATATAATTTTAATCGCTTTAAATCGATTAGTAAATTATTTTTAAATATTTTTAAAGAATCTTGCATATATGTGTGACCAGGACATGATCTCCGCCACCTTACTAGTTCCCAGGGCAACAGTAGGATAGAAAATTATGGGGAGAATTGCAATAATAAAGTTTCAAGTAAGAAAGTTTCAATAATAACATAAGAGTTTGTAATAACAGATTTTAGAGTAGTAAATGACAACTACTCATTTGTTATTAGAACTTACTGATAATTATTTTTGTTATTTAGGATCTCGTTGTAATTCCTCCAAAATTATATGTGCTCGACACAAAAAGTGCGCATATAGTTTTTGACTTTCTAATTCAAAAATCCATAACATTTACATTTTTTTTTCTATAAATGACTTGCAAAATAAAATTATGCAAAACTTGATAATTTTTTTATTGTTTTTAATTTTATTTATTTATACAGCATTATTAATTAACACATGAGCTTATGGTTTAAATAAACAAATTGTTAAACTGTGGATCAAGTATCAACTTCTTATAATTTTTATTTTCATAACTTTTCTACCTACCATCTTATTGCCCTGAGGCAAATTTGATTTGGTCTAGTGACTTGATTTTAAAAGGAGAAAGGGCAAAAAAAAAAAAAGGTTTTTAATATGTTTTTGCTTGTCTAAATGGACCTAATAGCACGTGTCCAAATGTTAAAGCCTCTGAACTCGTCAAGTTCAGTCCAAAATGCCAAACACGTCCGGGTCATAAATAAAAGGCCCGATTTTAGGTTCTTTGTGTCTTTTTTTTTTGGGCCAACAAGTGTACCATTTTCAATTTTACATATCCATCCACATGGAAGAAACGATGAGCGACAGTTCAGCTAGATTTTTGGCGTAATAATAATAATAATAATTCAGCTAGCTTACAGTGTCATCAGGATAAGCTAGGCATATGTACTCCTCTGGTCCTATTTATAAGGGAGAAGGAGAAATTTTTTTTATCCTATTTATAAGTCGCTTTATTAAATTTTTAGTGTGAACGTACTATTTCGTCCTTTATTTATTATAGTGTAAATAATTATCTTTTTTGAAAGATATATATTAAATAAGGGTAAAATTGAAAAGTTATTATATTTAACAGAGAGTTAATGTATTTTAAAGTTTTTCTTAATTTATGTGAAATATATTGAAAGTATCTTATAAATAAGATCAGAAAAGTAATAATTAGGCTAGGTTGGTTTTGTAGATTCCCCATTTAGGTATTTAGGGGGAAAACCTAATTGGTCTTTGTCTGCCAAAGCTGATCTCCTGTTTCTTCCTTAAATAAATCATTTGACATTTCTCATTCATCTCTTCAACCTAAAATAAGCTTGTCTTGACATGACAGATTGAAAAAAAATTCTAACCCAACGATTTAGTTGGTAAGGAGACAGCTCATAATTTATAAGGTTATGAGTTTAAATTTCACTGCTAATGTGAAAATCTTATTGATAGGTGATTTGTAAATATCTTTATAAGCGGTTTTTAATTTTAGAGAC